CTATCAAAACAAATCAACTCCTCTAAAGAGGGATTCATTCCATGATTTAGAAGACAAAGTCAATGGCGATAATTATTTCAATTAAAAATGCCCCGCTAGCTTTAGAAAAGAAAATTTTTCAATTTGATAATTATTTTAACATCTAAACAAGATTTTTAATGAATAAATTTTGTATCTGAAAAAGTTATGTTCTGTATTATTTTTGAAGTAAAAATGTTCACCATAAATGGCAATTTAGGATGTTCAGGTTACTTTCATAGGAAATATTTAATTAGAGAGGTTACAGTATACTTTAGACTACACTGTATTTCTTTTACTCTATTAAAATACCCACTTTTAATCAAATATCATAAGCCATGCAATTTATGTAGGTTTTGCGCATCTAACTAATTTCAGATAGTTCTTTAACGTTTAGTAAATAAAAATTATAAATTAAATCACAAAATACACAATGCCTTTATAGATTATTATTTTTTTGTATTGTTTGTGCAGAGGCTGAGCTTATATACAGATGATTTTTAAAGAAATTGAAAATGTAATTTGTAATTTAATTAATTACTTTTGCGAAGTAATTGTAATTTAATTAATTACACATATTAGAAAGCCTGTAATTTAATTGTAATTTAATTGAAGAAAAAGTCAAAGTAATTGTAATTTAATTAATTACTTTTTAAAGTAATTGACCCCATCCCTGATTGGTAGACAAGCTGTGTTTAAAGAGATGCACAAGAATCAGGAAGGACAATCGCATATAACGTTTTCTATTAGAAACCTCCATTAAAAAATAAAGCTATGCAAGGTCATGACTTTATGGATAACTTTAAATTTTTTAATGTATTGTTATTTTACGAAAATCATATCTATTCCAACTTGTGTAGCTTCTTTATTAGTTTTCATGAACTTTCTGATAACAGCTTCTGCTTTTTTATGATAATATACCGATACTCTTTATTTAAAGTAATTATTACCATTTTCACTTTGTGTTCCCTTTCAACCAATTTCAACATCCACTGTTTTATGTTAGCCTGGGATACTGATGGATTCCTTTTCTCTTGAGAAGGCTTTGGCTTTGTGTTAAACTCGGAAGTTCATACTGTTTCGTTCTTGTGGGTATTACTGTTGCCTTGGAATTCGTATTCCCACAAGTGGAAATGTTTTAAAATAAGTAATGCATGTATCTTGTAAATACAAAGTATTTTGTAGATGTACAATGAATACTAATAACAATACAAAAACAAAAGAAAGATTTTAACAAATGTTTTCAAGCCTCTTCCTTACTCTTGACGTGAATATTAACGGGAGAAACTTCAGGAGTACTATACAAACGTACAAGAGAAGTGGTGTTAATCAGATGTGGATACTTAAGAACTCCAAGGACCTTTTAGAAAAAAAACTGAGATCAAATTTACCAAATCAATAGCATTAAAACGGACGACATTTTTACCACTATTCCTTGAAAGACTTAGCTATTTTATATCATAGAGAACTACTTCTTCAATAAAAATGGAATATGTAAATTTACATACCTTGCTATTGGTCATCCGTAAACTTATTTTGTTAAAAGAACATTTTGATTCTATACACAAGTACTCCAAGTTTGATATTACAATGATGCTTGAGTTTCCCGTTGCTAATATCTATGTAATCTTTAGAGACAAAAGCCATCTTTTAAAAAATTGTCCGTTTGCCCTCTTCCGACCGACTGATTACAAATGGTCTAAGAATCTAAGAAAGATAATTTTTTTTTATTCATTCCAGAATTCTCTCATCCAAAAAACAATGTTAATACATTCAATTTCAATGAATAATTTTTTCATCTCTTCCTACCTAGCTATTTTTTTTATCTTGAGTCGGGAGAGGGCAAGTAAACGTGATTTTGAAAGATGGCCTAAATTTTCCAACAATCTGTTGGAATACCACATGTGTACTAATTGTGTCCCGTTATGAGCAGACCTGTTTGTGTATTCTTTTGAGGTAGAACTGCCGAAAATTAGTTTAAGAAGCATTTTATTATTTTATTCACGATGTACATAGAAGTATATACAATACACATGGATTGACCAGCTGGCAATGGCCTTTATTAGTTCTCTCCATTAGGGATCAAGGTACAAATCATGAAATGTTACAATGGTATATATCTGAACTTTTACAAAGACATGTATTTTAAACTAATTTTTATGGAGGATACAGAGTACAAAATTGAAAAAAAGGGGAAAACAGCAATAAAATGGAAAAATGAAAGGAAAGAGAAAAAAGGGAGGGTGAAGGAGGGAAAAGGGAAAAAAGGCTCAGACCCATATCTGTATATGTACTTTTCAATCTACATGCTACACATTAATACTTATTTCATTTTCACATTGAATTCTAAAATCTTATATATATATATATATATATATATATATATATATATATATATATATATATATATATATATATATATATATATATATATATATATATAAATTATGAACTTGGTCAAAGAATATCATATTTTTTTCTGTAAGAGATAGACAATCATAACCAGATAATACAATATTGATATCTCTTCGTATGTCATGGTCAATCATATATGTAATCAAAGAGTTCCTGGCAAGATCATACATGTAACATGGGCATTGAAAGAAAAAGAGTTCCTGGCAAGATCATAACATGGGCATTGAAAGAAAAAATGAACAGAATATTCCAAAAAATAACCACATTTTAAGCATTCAGGTGAACCAACTAAGTTATGATTAAACAAATCTGCATCAAGATTACTTGACAAGTTTCTCAACTGACAGTGGAGTATATTTAATTTCCTTCGTTTATTACTATATAATTTGGATTTTATTTTATCATCAAGTGTTGCAAATAAAAGATGGGCACCGTCAATTTTCTAGAAAAGTATGGCGGTGTTCTTGTTCTACTATGGGAAACCCCAAATGTGTCTGATCAAAACACAGAATATGAGATGCACAATGTCACTTAGTAAAAAAAAATGATGAAGTGCAAATTAATTTAATTGCATTAAATTGCATTCAGTGGTGTAAGAGGAATCGCAAATAAGGACTGGCTATCCCAAAGCGTTGCGTTACCAATGTTCACCTCTATCACGATATACCCTCACTTTTCAAGCGGGGGTATATATTACATAAAAACTGGAAAGGAATGACAAAAGTAATTCAATTACTTGGATTGTCTGATGAATAGGAGCTAGAGCTATATCTAAATCGTCGTTTTCCACTGCACACCTGTAATATCCAGTGGCTGTGACCAATACATATTTGATAACAAAATCAGGTAATCCTAATTCGCCACCATCAAATCTTTGGTCATCAATATTATTTAGTGCATAGTTTTTTTCTTCCATTTTACCGATAATAAAGTAGACAATGATTGAATGTTGTTTTGCGACCCATTCGAGAATTTTTCACTCATATAGATATGTCACCACATACCAGTGAAGTCAAATATATGAAAAATGGTTATGTCACCTGCAACCAAATACATTCTTATGTTAGGAAATCATAAATGTTAGAAAGTTAAAATGTATCAAGTACGATTGATGAAGCAATAGGTCTTGTCTAGTACCTCCAAGTTAGAAAACGACCATGTCCGAGTTATTCCTGGAACCATAGTGCTTAAACATAGAACAATGATAGAAACGTGGGTCTTCTCGCGGAAATTCGTTATGTTGAGGTTTGGAGAATAAATTGTCCAGCCAGAGTATTTACCATTAGGCACTGGATCGACTAGTAATTAATCTTCTTACCAACTAACTTCAACACCACAAGGGTAGCTGGAGGAAAAAATGCAAGACAGGGACACGCTATCGCTAGCGTTGACAGCGTAATTTGAACTTATAATGGATAAAACAGGAGAACCTAGTCTTAAGAGAAAAAAGAATTCCTAGTGAATAAATATATTTCCTTTCCAGTACCGTTGCATACAAATTTAAAACCGTAATACACATCTACACGACACCATCATTCATATTCCAAAAAAGTGATTTTGATACTGCAGAAAAAGAGGAGGAGTATTTTGTAAAAAGAAAGAAAGTTTTTTAACCCCAAATTGGCCCCAATGTGAAAAAAATTCTGAAACTTAATTATAGCATATCTGAAGGACACCGCATATATATCGAAAAGATGAATTGACTTTTCTTAAATTGAAGAGAAGCTTGTGAAAGAAGATAGTGTGGCAGAAGATTTTTTTTGTTTTGTTTTGTTGTTGTTTTTTTTTTTTTTTTTTTGTTTTGTTTTTTTTTTTTTTTTTTGTCCATTCGGGAATTTTCACTAATATTGAGACGCCACCACTTGTCGATGGAGAGATGCAAATATAGACCTATACTCGGCACTCACGGCCTTTTGAGCAGTGAGGGATTTTTTCGTGCTAGCACCTACTATGACCTCGATTTCTACGGTCTGTTATGAAGGACCGGACTCGTCCCGCAGTGGGATTCGAAAGCGCAAGGTAAGGATCAACTGCTTACTCTGCAACTATAGAGAAACCGCTCTAGCCAATGCGCTGCGGGTGTGACGGCAGAACAGACCACAATAACAATAAGCTATCAGAACTTTCATTACAAAGTGACTGCTCACAGTAGCCTAGTAGTAGGGCGTTCGCTTCGTGATTGGGAGGCCCGGGTTCGATTCTCGTTTGCCCCGCCGCGTCAAAGCTAAGACGTAAATATAGGTAGTGACTGTTCCTTCGCCAAGCACCCGGCATTAGAAGTGAAAATCACGGCCGGGTCTTTTCGATGAGACTGTAAACAACCAGGTGCCGTGCCACGGTAGGCGTTGGCACAATAAAGAACCATTACTGCTCAATTGTCCTTACTGCCGAGAAAAGATCTAAATTTGAAGCCCTTCACCGGCATACGGTGACGTCTCTATACTAGTGAAAAATTCTGGAATGGGAAGTTTAACAATTTATGAGCAATCAATCATTACAAAATGCAGGTATAGTTACTGCTCTTTGAAAATCACCATATAAAAAATAAAAATATTTCTCTCATTAGGTTTATTTCAAGATATGTACAACAAAGAGATACCAAATTACATGAATATTAATATTTAATATACATGTAGAACGATTCATGCAGGAAGATGTATTTAATATATTTATAAAATGTAGCTGTCTCTGAATGAAAATTGTTCGTATGACTATCACTGGTATCATATTCATTAGGACAATCTATTAATATACCACAAATGTTTTATTCACGTATAATTGATCTTTTACCATAAATTGACTATATTCATTTAACACCCGTGTTAATTCCAACATTATTTTCTTCTCAAAATTAGGTTATATAAAATGTACATAATATCAATTCATTAAAGAAGCTAGCGTTGAGGAATATGTGATGAAGTTTAAAAAAACTAGTCTCGAATATTACATATAGTAAATAAATGTATTAATTTTTAAAATCACCAACTACTAAATATAAGTGATTACCTTAAATAAATTACTGCATGTTGTATATCTTTTAGCCCGAGATAAGTATACATGTATATAATGATGATTATCACTAGATTATTTTCTTGCGTCTGATATTCTTTACACCGATATGCAATTTTTATGAAAAAAATATACAAGAGATTAAATTTGTCTGATAAAGCAACCCTTGTGTACTATGTGCTGGTCTATCACCCTACATACTGGTGTTCGGGTATGCATCGCTTGCTGTTCTGGTTGTTAACTAAGGTTTCAATGTTGTTCTTTAGGTTGTGTTTTTCTTTCAGTCTTTGAATTTTCTGAGTTTGAATTGGGATTTGAAGCTTTCTGAATTTCCAGGGCTGTTGCCATTCATTTGATCCAATGCAGACCTAAGGAATAATGAATTAACGAAGAACAAGTTTTAAGAACCTTAAGGACACTGAACCTCTGTTTTTAATGATTATTGTTAAAACATTACTATTGCATATGAAGGCTTACTTGGTAATTTGGTACTTGGTGGTTGCCAGAAATTTAATCGCAGCCACAGTAAAACCTATTGTGGCAATCACCCCAGGAACCCAACAGAAGCTGCTTTCCATGTAACTAATGAACACAAGGGTTTGTTGTTTTGATAGAAACATTCTCTAAGGACTCCACAGTTAAGCTGGTCACAACTAGATCCTGTAAATCCCAAATATATGTACTTATAAAATAATTGCTGTGTTGCTTATGATTGTACCTCGACTTTTACAAAAAAAATTTCCTTGAAGAACCTCTTTTTGGAATCCTTTCAAAAACTCAATACTGAATAACTCACCTTTTAATAAACGTACACGGTCTACGCAGCTAGGTTAAGGACTCCCATATCTACGTCAGCCTATGCAGAGGTTAGGGAAAGCTATTATGACGTCACGTTAAAACAATTCATGTGAATCTTGATGAATAAATATTATATGCACTTTTTGAAACACACTAAAATACTTCTGTTTCTCATAAAAATTATAAAGATAAATGGATGTGCAACTTATCTTGCCAAAATACCACTGTGAGTATGTAGAATGAAAGCTAGCTTGATCTCGCTGTACTTACTGATATGACGTCATTTCTTAGTTTGACACGCAGTTTCTCTGTACTTGAGGCGTGGATCAAGCTTTTATCATAGTTTGAAAAAATAAAAATAAATACGAAACAAGCTTATGTGGATCAAAATAAAGACATATTCTAAAATATATTAATCCACATTTTATTGCAAAACTAACTGATAATGTGTAGACTTTTTATATAGCCGTAGGGAGCACATTTGTACAGTAGCGTGCTAGAATGAGGGGTCCAGCCCCTCGAAAATATCAAAAGTTCAACGATATCCGCTTCACTATAAATTCTGAATTTTTGAATACGTGTAGCTATTATTCCTACTATTCTGAAAAGTGCTGGGAGCTGGTTGTACATTGCTTATATGTTCCGTAATGTAACATTATTCCAGTGCGTATTACATCTTTGTCTGGAGTTTATAGAAAGACGGCTAAATTTTACACAATTCCCGAGCATGAGGAAGTTGCTCCCAGCACTTTTCATGTTAAGGAATTTACCTCAAACAAAACAGAATAAATTTTATAGCGGAAAGATACCCGTATATCGTTGAACTTTTACGATCTTTTTAGTGGTACATGTATGTTCTAATTTTAAACCTGTCACGTGACAAACAGCTGATGTAAGCGATGTCGCTTTGGCTGAACTCAGCCGAGACCCGATATATACAAGTGCAAACACCATAGTTCACATTCATCAAAACTAATGCTGTTAAGAAAAAAAATTAAAATTGTATTCATTTTCTCTGAATATACTAAGGCGACTATTTCATGGGCGTCCTTAACCTAGCTGCGTACGCTGACCTGTATTGATGTACTTGTTGTAGTTCCATCGAAGTTAGTGACTTTACATCGATAATATCCAGAGTCACCATTGGTGATGTTGAGTATGGTTAAAGATGGAGATGCCATAGATCCTCCTTCGTACCTCTCATTTGACGATTTGTCGATTGCTATAAACGACGTATCATTAATACCTTGTTTCTCCCACACTATTGTCGAGTTGATCTCTGTGTCAGACAGGGTCACAGACAAGGTAACGTTGTCACCTTGATGTACTATGTATGTTGCGGAAGAAACATTTATAGTTGCAAACTCTGAAAAGTATAATTGCACCATTTTTTTCCAATACAAAAATACTAAAAATACAAAAAGCAATATTTAAGCATTGAATTCTTATTTTTTGGATGTTGTCGGTTGTATAACAGCACAAATATGATAATTTGTAGGCACGGTCAGATGCTATTATAGGACCGACGACAAACAAAAATAAGAATTCAATGCTTATATTTACATTCTATAATTTTCTCTCTTCTTAAATGTTAATTTTTCAATTTAATTCATCTTTATTATAAATTCGGGTCCTATCAGACCTTCTGTGGTTAATGCACGTAAGAGCAGTTTTTAACGTGGAAAGTTATATATCGCAAAAGAATGTTTCGAGGGAAAAAAAAATGACAAATTAATTTCAACCGTACAATTGTTATATTTTTACAATTTTCATAAAAGTTTTTAATTATATTGAACCAAAGCCATATGCCATATATATTCTGGTCTTTACCCTGTATTGAAAGAATATATAGTTCCTATTTTGTATTCACCGACACGTGAGAATGTTTTGTGTGATTCTTATAGGGAGTTGAATATGTTGTATATTTCCTACGAATTTCATAAAGTAAATTACACTGAATGTTAATATAAGATATTGGTTGAAAAGAAAATATAAACATCCAGCATCTAAAACTTTTAACATTTGTGGGTTTTTTACGCTTATAGCAAGGTAACCAAACTACACCGTACATACAATAACATATGAATTTATCTGTGTCAAACTGTAGATTTTGAATTTACCACCAGCTATAAATACAAAAATTACCGTGTACTTTTGTAAATTTCGTAATTACTGCGCGTCATGAAAAAAGTTATTTCAAATATTGTCTGATATACAATTCAACCAATAATTACGTGTTTGGAAATTGACGTAAAATAAAGGAGTTGTTGATATTCCATCGTTGTTGGCAACGTTACATCGATAATAACCACTGTCCTCAAGCAATGCATCAGCAATCACTAAATACGGTCTATCGATAGTACCGCCCTCGTATCGATCATTTTTAGCAATATTTACTGCACTGAATGTATAGGGATATTTGGAGCTCCTTTTTTCCCAGGTTATTGATTTCATTCCCGGTCCTGACGTGTAATTGATGTAAAGAGTAGTGCAAGACCTTGTTTTGACTATAATTGACGTTTTTCCAACTGATATTGCAGGGAAGCCTGTAAAAAAGTCCTTTATAACAGTCATATGGTCTTGCATGACGAAAGTTTGTAATTAAATGTTTATAATTTAAAAATATTATTTTGCATATAGATACAATCTTTCACGAAAGAACTGTTGTCGAAAGACTACAAAATTGACATTAGATCATCTAAAATAATATCTTTTTTTTCATTTTCAGCTTACTAGTTTTAATCCTTAAATGAAAGGGGGAACTCGTTGCTGTTCCGTCACCATTGGTAACTGCACATCTATAAAATCCGATGTCATCTTTTGTGACGTTGTAGATTGTAAGCGATGGAGAGGATAATGTTCCTCCAGAGTACCGCAAAATGGATGTTATATTGAGTGGCATATAAATATTCCAATACGGGTTCATCGTATATTCCCATGACACCTCCATTATGGGTATATTTGACGAAACGTTTACATCAAATGTAATATCAACCCATTTCCAAGTGACAAATGATGTTGTACCTTCTGAGATAACTGGAATACCTGCAACAGATAATGAAATCTAACTGAAACAACAGCAATATCAACATTTACATTTTAACTTCATTCCAGATCCCCCACCCTTTAAGTATATTAATCATTCTGATATGGAATGTAAGTATATAATTGACAAATTACTTTAATTTTTATTTCCAAAAGTTAATCCAATCTGACTTTCTTTTTTTTTATTTCTGTGATTCCTTTTTTTTTTTATTTTTAAGATACAGTTACTACCAGTGACAACATCTACATAAACTGTTCTCGTTGATGTCCCATTCTTGTTAGTAGCTCTAACACGATAATATGCTTCATCCTTCAGTTTCACGTCTGTTATCATCAATGATGGTGATAGAATATCCCCACCAGTAAAACGATTATTGGATAGTACATTGATAACTTCGTAGGTGTATGTACCGATGTTTCGTCTTTCCCATGTAACGTTAGTGATTGGTAGGAAGGATGTGATAATTGTTTGAAGAGTGACGTTTGCACCGATATAAACACTATAATGCGATTTTAGTGATATGGATGGCTTACCTGAAAATTGGATTAAGCATTTCTCTTAGTCACTGATAATTCATAATTCAGATCTATTTTTCCATTACTCTGTACTAAGCGTACACTTTGCTTACAATCTGCCAATGAAATAATGGAGATAACGAACGGTATTCCAGCTCAGCGTCCATTAAACAATACAAATTTTGAAGCAGAGCAAGAAATTTTCCAAGTTTTGCTTTCAATAGACCATCTTAACTTCTCTTATATACTTGTATATACGTGTATTTAATTATAGAAAATTGCTACGATACAGATATATTATTCATTTTCTATAAAGAGTTGACAAACACGGCAATTTTTTAATCCCAATTTTATAAACCAAAAAAGTACTAACGTAACCTGACGTGAATGTAGACATATCTTGTTGTTGTGCCATCATCGTTTGTGCCATTAATACGGTAATATGTCTCATCATTTGCAGAAAAATTTCTTATTGTTAGCGATGGTAAATTAATATCGCCGCCGGAATATCGATTATCTGATAACAAATCGATATTTTCATATCTGTTTGTACTGATGTTCCTTCTCTCCCAAGTGACATCTGTGATTGGAAGGGAGGATGTGATATTTGTCCGTACAGTGACGTCTGTTCCCGTATAAACAGAATATCTCCAGGATATTGATATGGATGGTCAATCTAGAAGGAAACATAAATTTCGGGATTGGAGAAACAAAAAATTGTGTCTGATCATATAATAGAGTACAGATAGCTTAATATGGCATATCATTTTCTTTTTAATTTCTTATCATTTCATCAGTTATAAAATCAGCACTTGGAGATTATTGTAATTTTCCACTGCTTTTAAGATGTATGAAGTATTGCAAAACTACGAAAAAATTGTAATGATTATACATTTGAAAGTTCGTATTCAATGTTAATCCCATTATGAAATAAATTGGAAATATAAACATTTTATCTCTTATAACACACTCAAAACCTAGTCACTGCGCTGTAGAATAGACAATAGGAATTACATTCACTTTCAATGCACTAGAAAAAACCAAAATTATATTGTTTTGGCTCAATTTAATAAACAAAATTCAATATTAAGTTATTATTACAATTGCAGATTTAAAATTAATTTGTTCTTTTTTTTTTTTTGCTCTCGAACTATTCATTTGAATTATTTAAATTAATCGCCAAAACGGCTAAATCTATAATAAAAATGAGTGAAATTAACATTAATGAAGAAAGAAAATTAGAGAATGTAAAACTAAGCATTGAAGTTTTATTTTTGGACGTCGTTGGTCACATGACAGCACCTGCTGACAAATTATCAAACCAAGCATTAGCGTGGTATTCAATCTGTCAGCATAGCCAGGTGCTGATATATGACGGACCACTTCAAAACATAAGAATTCAATGTATAAAATTGCATCTAAACATATCAGATTTCCCTCTTGAACTCTAATGAAAGCAGAAAGACAAAAAAATCTTTATGACTATGAAAGAATAACTTAAAATAGTACAATATATCTTACATCGGATAACAGTTATCCTGAACCAACTGCTGTACCTTTCTCCATCCGTGTTTGTAACCTTACATCGATAATACGTGTAATGGTCCTCCAAAGTTATACCAGAAATAGTAAGTGATGGTGAGTCGATGGTCCCTCCGATATATCGTCGATCGTTCACTATATCAATTGGATGAAAGTTGTACACGGATAAATTTCTTTTCTCCCAAACTACTGACGTGATGTTTAGAACGGATGTGTAGTTGAGTGAAAGAGTTATATTCGTCCCTCTCCTGATGTAAAAATTCCTTTGCCCAGTTGATATTGATGGTAGTCCTTGGGAAGAAATAAAATGCTTTAATGATCAATTGAGTATAGCACAATCCTTTAAAGGATCTTTCATCAAATCATATAATAAAGCAGAATAAACTGATAGAGGAAGATATGTTGTTAACTAACAAAAGGAATAAGATACTATGTCGGATATATTTGAAAAGTTTTCCTGAAGTCTAATTCTATTCACGTTATTGATACAATAGTGATTCATAAAATGACTACTATCGTACATTAAATAAAAACTCGTATCGCTCACATGTCCATGTATTATTAGATTAAGAAATACACGACTACATAATGCAAATATACATGGTTTATAGCTGAATTAGACTTTTCATATTTTGTTTGTTTGTTGGTAAGTATTACCTGAATGTGGAAGATAATGTGCAGGCATTACAGGCAGTGTTATACGACTTCTGTTACCTCTTTGAATGACATACATGTGCAACATTCAAAAATTTTAAAAGCAGTTTTCTTGACACATATATAAAACACTATACGGATACAATACATGATTTAAAAAAATACGTACGTAACAGAACATCGATGTAAACTGATCTCGTCGTTGTACCATCGTCGTTTGTGGCGCTAACACGGTAATAAGTTTCATCATTTACATTGATATCTGTTATAGTCAGCGATGGAAAAATAATATCGCCGCCGGAATATCGATTATTTGACGATAAATCGAGAACTTCATATCTGTATGTACTGATGTTTCTTCTCTCCCAAGTGACATCTGTGATTGGCAGGGAGGATGTGATATTTGTCTGCAGAGTGACATTTGTTCCCCTATAAACAGAATACCTCCAGGATAGTGATATGGATGGTCGATCTAGAAGGAAACATTAATCTTATAATTGGAGGGTCAGTAAGAGTCTGATTACATACTGTAGTACATATAGGTAAATATGGCATATCATTTTCTGTTTAATTTGTTGATAACCATTCCATCAGTTTTAAAATCAGCACTTGGAGATTATTGTACAGACCCTGAAACGTGCTACTACCCCAAAAAAGCGTGTGACTTTCGTGCGCTTTTCGTTTCGTGCAAACCGTGTAGCGTTTCGTGTAAACCGTGCAGCGTTTCGTGCAAACCGTGTAGCGTTTCGTGTAAACCGTGCAGCGTTTCGTGTAAGCCACAAAGCGTTTCGTGCAAACCGTGTAGCGAGCGTGCGAGAAGCGTGTGAGAAACGTGCGACTTTCGTGTAAGAACCGTGTGAGAAACGTGCGACTTTCGTGCAAGAATCGTGTGAGAAACGTGTACGATATTCTTTCGGAAGTCCTTTTATTTTAAATATGGCTATCAATGTATCAACATGTCATTCTGTGTTGTTGTATCCATATTATTCGGATATATACTGACGGCATTTTAAGGGTGAAAAAAATACTACGGAAACAACAAAATAAAATTACTCGGTAATGTATTACATATTTGTTTGATTTTCTTTCTTTTTTATTTCGATAACGATGGACAGAATATGTGTTAAAAGTAATTAATTATATGCACATAAACTTCAAGGTATTTGATTCATTTGATTCGGTGATTAATACAAAATAATAGATAGATATTGCAGGAGTGAAAAATAAAATGCAAAATTTAGTGCTTTGCTATAAATGTAAAGTATTGGAATTATAGGCCGGGGAGCACAGTTAATTGATTTTCTTTATAAACGAACATAATTTTCTTATATTACTAGATTGTGATACAAATAATTTTGAAACGATGAGTCATTTCTGGTCTTTTTAATGCATAAAATTGGTTTGATTTATAATAGTCATATAAATGAATTATAACCCACATGCATCGGCAAATACAGGGTTAAATATTTACGGGAAGGGGGGGGGGGTGATCAAATGAAAACACAAATTGAGTTTCTGTTTTAAACAAGTGTTTTATTGATCATTTTCTTTTTAAAAAAATATTATTTCTTTCGGAATGCGCCCGATGCACCCCTTAAAAATATATTGGAATCTTCTTTACGCTTTCAACACTCTTCTTACAACTATGATCAAGGTCATTTACAACAGCGATCACGGACTCCGCGTGCCGGGACTGAAACTCTCTTGTCAATCATAGCTCCGATGACACCCGACAATAACGATTGATTTTTAATTCGTGAAATTGAACGTTTTTACTAGTATTTAATGGGTATAAATAAATACCTGTGGGTCTTATTTCTTAAATTTATCCGATTGTCTGTAAACAGTGAATGAATTTGCCAGTGTATTCGTGAATAAAATTATAAAGAAATTAATTCTGAATAATTATACATTAGTTGTTTTATTAATCACGCAGTTCTTGAGTATATTTATTTATTTATTTATTTTAGTTTTTAGGACATTGGACATGTATACATATATACTGAAGGTATTGTTAAGAGCCGCGACTATTGATTACATAATTATTGTTTTTTTTTTTTTTTTTTTTTTTTTTTTTTTTTTTTTTGTTTTTTTTTTTTTTGTCTAGACGGGGTTTGAAATGGTGTTGGGTATATTGTTTTTATAAACACAATGCCTCAACAGAGAACTAAAGAATTACAATACTTATCCCCCCCCCCCCGGCTTTTCTACCATATAAAATTTTAATGATAAATTAAATTTTAACTCTGTAATGAAACGATATATTTACCATTCTGAATAATGTGCATTTAATTAATTGCATGTATCGGGTCCCCCTGGATATGGATATCCTTTTGTTTTTCAGAACGGACTTGTTTCTATGATAATTTTTTTCCCGATGGTATACTTACTGTAACAACTGCCTGTTATATTTAACCATGTAGAGATTTGAAGATACAACAGTAAGATCTCGGTATTCTACCCCCCCCCTTTCCTGCACAATGTTCCTGTTTGATACAGATTACTTATTACCTTTGCAAATTCTAAACAGAACCTTATTTAATCAAGTGAAATTATCTTTTTTTTACTAAATCAAAAAATGTATCAAACAATCAATAATTAAAAAAGGGGGAAAAAAAAAATAAATCCGTTTACAGAAATCATACGCAATTTAATAATTTTTTTTCAAATCAATAACTGGGATTATTTATCAGTAATAAAATGACATTTTAAATATCAAACTATAATTGTAAAAACATTAAATTTTGTAAAAGATTATGAATTACAAATATAATTATTTTTTTCAGTGCGTAATTCAGAGTCTAGTGAAAAAAGGTTTGTACACAGACGATGATAAGCATTTCACCGCACATACTCAGTGACAACTATTAATTAATTACAACTGAACATTGAATATTTTATCTGTTAATAGATAAGGTTAGCGAGTTTTAATCTAAACTTAATCTGAATGATTGCAATCCTTAACTAATCTTTGATTAATCCGTAATAATTAAAATAAAGTCCGAGAGATCCCGAATAGAAAATCCAGATCGAGGCCAAAGCGTGCGAGAATCGTGTACAAAGCGTGTGAGAAACGTGTACAATGCGTTTCGTGCAGGCTTTCGTGTAAACCGTGCAGCCTTTCGTGCAAAGCGTTTCGTGTAAACCGTGTAGCGTTTCGTGCAAACCGTGTAGCGTTTCGTGTAAACCGTGCAGCGTTTCGTGCAAACCGTGTAGCGAGCGTGTACCGTTCGTGCAGCGTGCGTGTGGGGTAGTAGCACGTTTCAGGGTCTGTAATTTTCCACTGCTTTTAAGATGTATGAAGTATAGCACAACTAGGAAAAAATTGTAACGTTTTTATATTTGAAAGTTCGTATTCAGTGTTAATCCCTTTATGAAATACATTGGAAATATGAACATTTTATCCCGTATAACACACACAAAACCTAGTCACTGCGCTGTAGGATAGACAATAGGAATTACATTCACTTTCAATGCACTAGAAAGAAGCAATATTATATCGCTTTTTGCCTCAATTTAATAAAAAAAAATTACAATATTAAGATATTATTACAATTGTAGATTGAAAATTAATTTGTCCTTTTTTCTCTCTCGCACTATTCATTTGAGTTATTTAGATTTCAAAGCCAAAACGGCTAATTCTATAATAAAAATAAGTGAAATTAACATGAATGAAGAAAAAAAATTAGAGAATGCAAAAGTAAGCATTGAAGTTTTATTTTTGGATGTCGTTGGTCACATAACAGCACCTGCTGACAAATTATCAAACCGAGCATTAGCGCGGTATTCAATCTGTCGGCACGGCCAGGTGCTGATATATGACGGACGACTTTAAAACATAAGAATTCAATGTATAAAATTGCATCTAAACATCTCAGATTTCTCTCTTGAACTCTAATGAAAGAACGAAGACCAAAAAATCTTCATGACTATGAAAGAATAACTTAAAATAATACAAAATATCTTACATCGGATAACAGTTATCCTGAACCAACTGCTGTACCTATCTCCATCCATGTTTGTAACCTTACATCGATAATACGTGTAATGGTCCTCCAAAGTTATACCAGAAATAGTAAGTGATGGTGAGTCGATGGTCCCTCCGATATATCGTCCATCGTTCACTATATCAATTGGTTGAAAGGTGTACATGGATGAATTTCTTTTCTCCCAAACTACTGACGTGATGTTAAGAACGGATGTGTAGTTGAGTGAAAGAGTTATATTCGTCCCTCTCCTGATGTAAAAATTCCTTTGCCCAGTTGATATTGATGGTAGTCCTTGGGAAGAAATAAAATGCTTTAATGATCAATTGAGTATAGCACAATCCTTTAAAGGATCTTTCATCAAATCATATAATAAAGCAGAATAAACTGATAGAGGAAGATATGTTGTTAACTAACAAAAGGAATTAGGTGATAAAGAATCAATAAGATACTAAGTCGGATATATTTGAAAAATTTTCCTGAAATCTAATTCTATTCACGTTGATACAATTGTGCTTCATAAAATGACTACTCTCGTACATTAAATAAAAACTCGTATCGCTCACATGTCCATGTATTATTAGATTAAGAAATACACGACTACATAATGCAAATATACATGGTTTGTAGCTGAATTTCATATTTTGTTTGTTTGTTGGTAAGTATTACATGAATTTAAATATCAACAGGAGAAATCATAGAAAATTCTGACTATTCTTAAGAAATAAATTGGACTACAGAGAATATTTTGCAATTATAAATATAAAACACAATGAAATGCATCGGAATTTCTTCGACAACTCACATTATAGTCCACTTTATGAATGTAGAAACTAAAGCCTAATTCCGAATTCTAAAAATATGCTAGAAAGTGGAAGACAATGTAGAGGCATTACAGGCAGTGTTATACGACTTCTGTTATCTCTTTTAATGACATACATGTGCAACATTCAAAAATTTTAAAAGCAGTTTTCTTGTCACATATATAAAACACTATACGGATACAATACATGATAAAAAAATACTTACGTAACAGAACATCGATGTAAACTGATCTCGTCGTTGTACCATCGTCGTTTGTGGCGCTAACACGGTAATAAGTTTCATCATTTACATTGATATCTGTTATAGTCAGCGATGGAAAAGTAATATCGCCGCCGGAATATCGATTATCTGACGATAAATCGAGAACTTCATATCTGTATGTACTGATGTTTCTTCTCTCCCAAGTGACATCTGTGATTGGCAGGGAGGATGTGATATTTGTCTGCAGAGTGACATTTGTTCCCCTATAAACAGAATGCCTCCAGGATAGTGATATGGATGGTCGGTCTAGAAGGAAAAAAATTATTAGGAATTGGAGAATCAAAAAGTTGTTTTTGATCACATAATATCGTACATATAGCTAAGTGTGGCGTATCATTTTCTTTTTAATTTGATGATTATCATTCCATCATATTTAAAATCAGCACTTGGAGATTGTTGTAATTTCCCTCTGTTCTTAAGCGGTATGAAGTATGTCTTGTAATTGTACTAGTGAGAAAATGTTGTAATGTTTTTATATTTGAAAGTTTTCATGCAATGTTATTTTCTTTATGAAATCAATTGGAATCTACAACATTTAGTCCCTTATAACACACAAAAAATCTGTATGATACACAATAGGAATTACATTTACATTCAATGCACTAGTAACACCACAAGTATATTGTTTGGGCTTTATTTATTTTTTATAAAAAGCAATTACGCTATTAAATTGTAAAAATATAACAAATGTAGACTCAAAATTAATTTGTCATTTTTTGTCCTCTTTTTTTTTTTTTTTTTTTTGGCTCCAAATAAAACAAAAACGATAACGTTTTTTTAAGTTGATGTAAAAATATAACAATTATATAATTAAAATTTACTCGTCATTTTTTTTATCCGCGCAATATTCATTTGAGTTATTTAAATTTCCACGTCAAAACGGCTAAATTTATAATAAAGATGAGTAAAATTAACAATAATGAAGAACGAAAATTAGAGAATGTAAATATAAGTATTGAATTACTTAAGCATTAGCGCGGTATTCAATATGTCGTCACGGCCAGGTGCTATTATACGACCGACGAAATCCAATAAATAAGAATTCAATGTATAAAATCGCATCAAACACATCAGATCTTCCTCTTGAACTCCAATGAAAGCACGAAGACCAAAAAAATCTTTATTACTATGAAAGAATAACTTAAACCAGTAAAAAATATCTTACATCGGATAACAGTTATCCTGAACCAACTGCTGTACCTATCTCCATCCATGTTTGTAACCTTACATCGATAATACGTATAATGGTCCTCCAAAGTTATACCAGAAATAGTAAGTGATGGTGAGTCGATGGTTCCTCCGATATATCGTCCATCGTTCACTATATCAATTGGATGAAAGTTGTACACGGATAAATTTCTTTTCTCCCAAACTACTGACGTGATGTTAAGAACGGATTTGTAGCTTAGTGAAAGAGTTATAATCGTCCCTCTCCTAATGTAAAAATTCCTTTGCCCAGTTGATATTGATGGTAGTCCTTGGGAAGAAAGAAAATGCCTGGTCACCTGAGTTTAGTACAATCCTTTAATCAAATCATATTACAATAAAGCAGAATAAATTAAACTGACAGAGGAAGTCTGTTGCTCACCAAAACAAAAGGAATAAGGTGATCAAGAGTCAGCAAGATACCGAGTCGGATATATTTGAAAGGTTTTCTTAAGGTATGCCACCCGTGAAATAGTTATATCAAGGATCTTTTAGAAGTATAGTTTAGATACATACTCATATAGTATGACTCAAAATCGCAAAGAAAATGGGACTCAGTGTGCATCCTTCTGAGCTACCGTACAATTAAGTTGACCTTTTTGCACTTATATTGAAACTCATTGGTTAATCACTTTAATCTTTATCATATTTTATCAGATGTAATCATGGCAATAAATATATTTTAAGTAAAATAGTTTGAATAATGTTTATCATTGAAGAAATCATGCAAATTGGTGTGCATAAATTATTGTGTTACCTTTTTGCACTAAATAAAGTACTCTATTTGGGTTATAAAAAAATCTAAATAGGCAATAAAATATTTTCTTGTATCAAACTTTTTATGACTTAAGTGCTGATCGGTTGGATGTATCCTGTTGTCGAATGAAAGAATAAGCTGGGGTAAGTGATGTAAATTTCGAGATATTGGTCAAACTGTGCGATTTTCAGGCTGAAAACAGTGTAAATTTTAACTTGACTTCTTTAATATATCTTCATTTCTTGGCAAAATCTGTTGAGTGAATGTGTAAAGTTTGTTCTAAAAATATAAATTGAGACCTATATTTAATATTCCTAGCATATCATAACGGAGAATATTCTCTAAGTAAAAATATGCGGGGCTAAAGTTCCAAGATATTAAATTTTACAAACGTGTAGATTTGAAGAATTTTCTTATAAGATATCCCTCCATCACAAGAAATAGTACCTCATGAATCTTGCTCCTTTATGAATTCTTAAGCAGTTTTTAATTGATTGTTGAATAATTTGCATTGTTTAATTTAAATATGTAATAAAAATTGAATTGTAATAAATAGTTTTGAATGTAAAGGTTCTGACTGAACTTTTCTAAAAAGCTGACGAGTGACATACCTTAAATCATATTCTACTTAAGTTATTGATACAAGAGTGCTTCTGAAAATAACTACTAGTATTCTTGTACACTGAGTAAACTCAACATATTGCTGAGTACCTGTTCCCCTTCCAATGGCCTCTCCTACGATTAAAATATCATTTACTTTACAAAATGAAAGGTTTTGCTGTCTAATGTTTATTTTTTTTTTTAATTATTTTACAATCTGCCTGACTATTGAAAACTATAGAAGTACTTTTGTGTCATGAATGAAAAAATCTTATTCATGTAACATATCAATTGCATTTTTGAAATGATTACATGTAATTATAATAGGTGAATAATCAAAGAGAAGTAACTTATCTCAAATTATCCTATACACCAGAACCCCTAACCCTAGTGATATCAAATTCACAAAATTGGTATAGGAATTCCTTTGTTATAATCAAGCTAAAAGTCCGCTCAATATCTAGGAGATAAGATTTTTGAAGATTATTTTTATGATTTTGGTCCCGCCTGCCCAGTGATGAAAACGCCACAAAATTCATACTTTTTGTTCACTTTTACCCATAAAGTTATATAGCTTTATGAGTAAAGGTGAAAAAAAATTATGATTAGGTCTTTGAATTAATTCAGATAGTAGAATGCACAAAAGTGCTCATTTCTTTTACGAAATCAAATAAAGACAGGTAGGGAAGTTTACTCACTCGGATTGACAGATAAATAAAACGATGAGCTATATTCAACACCATCAGTGTTTTCCACTGCACACCTGTAATATCCATTATCTGTAACCAGTACATATTTGATAATTAGATCAGGTGATCTTATTTGGCCACCATCAAATCTGTTGGAATTGCTCGTATTTATTTGGTAGTAATTATGCGGGTAGGAAGAATTTCGCTTTTCCCATGTCACTGATAATATAGTGGTAAATGACGTGATGTTGACGTCAAAAGTAACATTCTCCCCAAAGTTCATGTAGAATCTCCTCTTCCCAGTAGTAACTGAAGGCAAACCTTAAAAAGAAATAACGGTTCTAAAATCATCAACATTCTAAAAAAGAGAGACCCTTTTCAAATATGAGTTCCTGCAGAAAAATGGGGTACTTTTGTGCGGTAAACTTACGAAAAAAATAGGCTTAAATAAAACGTCATGCTCTTTGTACCATCCACATTTGTTGCGTTGAACCTAAAATATCCAGCATCTCCCCTACGGACACTGTTAATGGTCAGTGAGGGGTCGTTGATTAAACCACCAAAGAATCTGCTATCTGTTGTATCAATTAAGGTATATGTATATGGGTAGTTGGCGCTGCGTTTCTCCCAACTGACCGATACCATAGGTAATTCAGATGTGACATTTGCCTCAAAAGTGAGATTAGTTTCCGAATATATGTAGTAAAAGTATGTCTGCTTTGATGTTATAATAGGTAAGCCTATAATAATTATTTAAAAAGAATTTCATAAGATAAACAAGATCAAAACAAATAACGGAAAAACTATTTAATTTAATTCTAAAAGATTAGTTTACTTACGAACAATGACATTGACATAAATGCTCGAACTTATGGTTGAACCTTCAGCGTTAGACACATTAAGACGATAATATCCATCATCCTCGATGCCGATGTTACGAATGATCAGAGACGGAGAATCGAGGGTCCCACCATCGTACTTGTCATTTGAAGTCGTATTTAAGGTACTCCACTTCATATTATAGAAATAAGACCCAAAACGCCTCTCCCACGACAAATTCAAAAGATTGGGATTGGCATAGATAAAAACGAAAAGCGTGACGTCTTGGCGCTTGTTGACAGTGTACCGAGTAGAGTTCAGATCAATGTAACGCCCTGAAAGTCAAACAGAATCTAATATGTATGAAAGATCGCCATCCATTATACAACCCCCTCCCCGAAAGTATATTATGGCTCTGAGGTGTTTTAAAATACACAAATCAGAAAGTAAACATGTACATGAACATTCTCAACATTATTTCTTAAACAGGATTTTCTATGAAATCTGCATTTGAAAGTAAATCAAAAATTATTTTTTAAAACTAGTGGAGAAAATGACACATATTTCAAACACAAAATTGTCTTTTTAATTATACATCCGAAAATCTATTACTATAAACTTGTTGCAATGGCATCAAGAAAGTATTCAGTCATTTCTGCTTCCATATGAGGTTTATTCTGCACACGAAACACCTTATGCATTATCATAGTTTTTTAGCTCATCAGAGAGGTTTACTTAAACAATAAAACGGCTCAATTGCTTGTAAGTATGGGAATTAATGTTGCATATGTTTTCTTCAATAGCCGCAACATTAATTCCCATACTAATAGAGTACGCCATTTTAATTATATTTTTGTCTGTTTAAAAATTTATGTAAAGAAGGACTAAGTACAGTTAATATTGTATCATTGATATGTTTGTCATTGTATGTTTCTTTGATGGAAGAGTCACAGCTCAAGAAATCCTTACAGGTAGCGTGCATACAAAGTATTCAGAAAGGACTGTGGTTTTGATTAGAAATAAGGGAGATAATATTCATAATATCAGTGAAGGTAAATATTATGCACTCATGACACAATATGCACTACCGTAGCACCGTTATTGTAACTTGTCAATTTCGATATTGATAAATAAACATAAACTGATTAATTTATAGTCAGAAATAAAGGTTTCTACAACGATTTTGGCCATTCGCTTCAATAAACTGAAAATAAGTGTAATAGTTTGAAAATATACTAATTGCCCCCATAAATATAACATAAAAAATATTTAATTAAAAAATCCGAAAACTTAAAAGAAACTTTTGATATCATACAATGGTCACTGATAATTTTTTTTTCTTTTTCCATGGCCTCGGCGTCAAACTGTAAAACTGAAATATTGCCTGCACAAGTAGGAGTGGTGACTTTCATGTCTGAAAAGTTTTATAAAGATTTTGTAGGCCATGAATAAGAATACTCTTGGACAGGTTAAACAGAAACAATATGTCGCTTCAACGAAATGCATTCTGCAATTGATTCAAATTTTTTGGCAGAAACCACCTTGATTCGATTGAAAAAAAAAACCTTTAAAGTCTCCAAATTATTGCTTGAGTAGTTAGACTACTGGGAAAATTAAACATTAAAGAAATTTAATTAGGTCTTCCGTTTTCAACGGAAGACCTATAATGATTCTACTGTTTCTTATTAGGTCTTCCGTTTTCAACGGAAGACCTATAGTTATTCTACTGTTTCTTATTATTATTATTATTATTTTTTGGACTTTCTAATTTTGTGCACGCGATTTCTCGAAGACTATTGGATGGATTTACATGAAATTTTCAGGAAAGATGTGTGGTAATGTGAACCTGATCTAGCTGAGAGAAAATTTGGAAATTCACTTCCGGTGCCGTCGCCCGCGTGGCGCAGTGGTTAGAGCGTCTGCTCTAGAGTCGCGGCGTAAGGAGTTGATCCTTACGTCGCGGGTTCGAATCCTACTGTGGGACGTGGAGACCGGTACTTCGGATGAGACCGTATAAACCGAAGTCCCGTGTCGCAGTAGGTGCTGACACGAAAAAGATCCCTCACTGCTCAATGGCCGTAAGTGCCGAGTATAGGACAAAATTTGCAGCTCACCACCGGCAAGTGGTGTCGTCTCCATATGAGTGAAAAATTCTCGAGAGGGACGTTAAACAACATACAAACAAACACACTTCGGTGCCAAGTTACGGACCATTTTCTGAATTTAAATTGACATTTTGTCCGCGGATAATCTCAGGAACGGTGAAAGATATCAATGTGAAACTTTCAGGGATTATAGATCGTGATAGGTAGAAGCCTGGTCGCTACTTTTCGTTCGTCGTCGGCACTTCTGGTCGAACACGGAAGTGATAAAAGAAATCGTAAAATTTCAACTTTCCTTTTTTAAATTAATACTTATATCACATTATTGCATCTCTTTTGTAGTTTCGAAATATGTTGGTCCCACCCGAAACAAAAACGTCAACTTCCGGTTATGAGAGAAAAACAACATAATTTAAGTATTTTTCTCTCCCATGTTATTCAGACTGCAAATGTCAAGAGTAACGTCAAATATCTTTGTGAAATTCACTTCCGGTCGCGTGTTTTTCTGTCCTCAAAATGAGAAATTGTCTGAGAAAGATCTCGGGAACGGTAAGAGATTAAGACACCAAACTTATATGAGTAATAGACCTTAACTTGTAGGCAAAACTATTTGGGTTCAGAGCGTCAGCCGTCACTTCCGGTCGTCACAGGAAGTGATCAAAGAAATCGAAAACTTCAACTTTTCTTTTTTTAAATAAAAATTACATCACTTTATTGCATCCTTTTTGCAGATTCGAAAGATGTTAGTCCCACCGGAAACAAATACGAAAACTTCCGGTTATAAGAGAAAAACTAAATAATTTGAGTATTTTCTTTCCCACAAATATTCTTTATAGATAACGTATTTGAAATGAATTTTAAATATGTTATTCAGAGTGCAAATGGCTAGAGTAACCTCAAATATCTTTCAAAAATTCACTTCCGGTCGCGTGTTTTTCTGTCCTCAAAATGAGAAGTTGTCTGAGTAGATCTCAAAAACAGGTAAACGATCAAAACACCAAACTTTTATGAGTAATAGACCTTGAGGAGTAGGCGAAACCATTTGGGTTAAACGCGTCAGTCGTCACTTCCGCTTGTCACAGGAAGTGATCAAAGAAATCAAAAATTTTAACTTTTCTTTTTTGAATTAAAACTTGCATCAATTTATTGCATCTCTTTCGCTGTTTCGAAATATGTTAGATTCCACTGGAAACAAAAACGTCAACATCCGATTTTAGGAGATAAACTAAGTTATTTTTATATTTTTATTGATTGCTTATCGATAAAGTACTTGAAACAATTTTATGTATGTTGTAGATTCTGCAAATGTCTAGAGAAAATTCAGAGATTTTTATAAAATTCACTTCCGGTCGAGTGTTTACCTGTGCTCAAAATTAGAATTTGTTCTCACAATATTGCTCGGCAACAGTAAAAGACTGAAATCTAAAACTTTCAGTACTAATAGTCAGTCATCAGTTTATTTGAATCGTGAGAAAATCTTGTATCGCCGGTACTTCCGGTCGTGACAGGAAGTGATGCAAAAAAGTTAATGGTTAATGGTAAGGAAGTTGGATTTTCAGGCTGACGACCAGGTTTAATCTCCAGAGTGTCTGAATTTCTTTTATCTCTTTTTTAGCTTGAATTTTCGTTTTTATTTTCAGAATCGGACGGAAGACCTCTCATTGCTCGCAATGAGTTTCTAGTTTTTCATCTGTTTCCGTGGCACATGAAGGCATTTAAAAATTTGCATGTTGACTGCAAAAGTTTCTAATAATAATTTCAGAATCTGTTAAGTTTCGTCAAGATTGTCAAAAACAACTCTGAGAACATTTGCAAATATATTCTCCTTTTTGTTTTCGTTTTTGAGGCAACTCAGGAAACCAGTTTCACGCAATGCAAGAAACAATCAATAAAAGTTTCGAAAAGATTGTCTGAGCAGTTACTGTGAAAAACAAACTTTAAGAATTTTTGCTTTTCCTCTGTTTTCAATTGGCAACGATAGGTAATTTGAAAACAAATAATGTTGACCGCACAAGTAGAATTTTCTGATAATCATTTTTGTAAAGTTTCATCACGACTGCTCAAGGGATCAGCGAGGACACTTGCGGACAAAATTCTTTACTTGTCATACGTTCTATGGCAACGGTGGCCATTTTAAAACTGAAAATGTTCGCTGAGTAACTACAGCTGATAATAATCTTTGATGGAATATTTCATCAAGATTGTCCCAGTCTTCTGGAAAAACATCCATGGATAAAGTTTTTTCGGCATTCAAAAACAATACGTCTCCCCGACAACGTTCGAGGTGACATAATCAATATACCAAGAAATTTGAGTCCCTGTAAAATACAGAAAGAAGGCCCTTTTATAAAAATCTTTCCTGTCCAGATTTCAATAATGTGAAAAATTTTAGTTAATTTAAAGAATTCAAATAATTTCTACTTTAAACTTAACAAATGACTATTATATTATATTTATTTAGTTATTTTCGGATTCCATTCAACACATTTTAGTCTACATCATCCAGAGTCTGCATTAACCTTCACACACGACTTTTGAGCAGGTAAACGCAAACCTTTGGAGTTTTCAGTTTTCAGGAAGTAATATTTAAATGTGTCTGTTTTCTTTTTAAGACTTAGATAAAGTTCAGTACAGTTCATTTTTTTTATTTGAACTTTAATAATATTTGACCTCCATACAAATTTTGAAGCATAACCCGTTGGAAAATTGAAAATAAGAGGTTTCTTAATTAACATGAATTTAATATTTATGGCAAAATTAGAATTTAAAGAATTTTATTTGATAACTTTATTTCATTAGATTTTGAGTCTACCATTAGAATCTATTGGTGCATGGGACAATCACTAAGACTTCGTCAATGTACAGAACCACCTAAATGTTTTTATGTATATGATACATGCAGCTCAGAAATAACAGAGAGAGAGATAGAAGCTGAGAAAACTTACCAAATATGTTTACATTAACTGTTTTACTGTAACCAATTCCGTTTGAATTGTTTGCATAACATCTGTAGTTACCAATGTCTGATGAACTAAAACTGTAAATTCTCAAAGAAGGATAATATGTAGTAGAACCGTAATATTTAGATGAGGTTACGTTTATTTCCATTTCGTTTTCCTGGCCCTGGAGTTGCATTCTCCAGAAAACTCTAGTGACACCGAAACCAAACACTTTACAAGGTATATTTACAGTCTGTCGAAGACCAGTGGTAATGTTTGATCCAACTAGTACTGCAGGTACTTCTAAAATAAAAAGAAAATTGAAATAGCCTGATACAAACTAATATTTATTGGGTTTATTCTTATTTGCCAGCATAACAGTATTTCTAGTTAAGGAATGAATTTCAAAGCTACTTAAGTTACAAATGTGTACTGTATAACCTAGGTTGAGGCAGTTTACGCTTTATAAACTGCGAAGCAGGTATAACGTGGGCAGCTATTTAATTTGTTCCTTGTAATTCAATTTTGTATAATTCAATGTAAAAAAAAATATAAAGGCAATTTTCCTTTAAAATCTGTAATCAAGTTGCAAAAACTTCAAATGTGACCTAAGACAGACAATTTTTTTTTACGCGAGTCATTGTGACTTAGGCAACACAGGTTATACGAAATAAATGAATTTTCCCATCCAAACAAATCGCACTTTACAATCAAAATTAAATTATTTGTTAACTACTTTAAAGCAAAGGACATCATTAGTAAAAAAAAAAGGAACTTAAGTTGTTTAAACTTAAAATTGGCAATGTAAAGAACTCATAGGTAGGTTGAGCTTCCAACACAATATCACAAACTACCTATATATAACGTCAAAAAGACATATGACGTCACGTCACTGCAAACAGCTCAGTTGAGCTGTTATGACAGGATGATTGTCATAAACTTTACACCTTATAAATTGTAAATGTCCGTCACGTGATCAACGAAATCATGTGATATTATAAGAAATGTGTTTATGTATAGCTGAGAGAACCCTCTATATAAATTGGTTGTACTTAAGTATATAACTTTCAAATTAAAATCAAAACCGACCTAGCAATTCAATATTATGTTTTGAACGCATTTAAAGCTTTGAGAAACCTTAACATAGCTGCGCTCTTGTTAGATAGCCCAAGGTATAAAAGTATTACGTAAGCATTTATACAAATTAGGTTAAAAAAACAAAAGTAAGACATGAAATATTTATGCGACACGCGTAGCTCTTTTTCATAAGAAGGGTGTCATATTTGGCCATAAACCATTTTATGAGAGATTTGCAAAGATGAAAACATCTGCGCTACAAAGAAATTACTCAGAGCTCCCTCTGATCTACATTTGCTACTTTCAAATTCTAGGATATCATTCAAAAGTTTGACATTTACGTCTAACTGTTCTGTTGGCAACACATCAAAATATTTAATCAAACTTTTAAAAATAGAGCTCAAATCAAAAATTGTACTTTTCTCGAAATTCTGAAAACTGCTACACAGTTGTCACAAAATGTACGAATGATGAAGTTAAATATACAGTTAATGTATATCTTTGAGGGACCTAGCAAGATTCTAAATCTCCGAGATCAGGACGACCTCCCAAGGCGAAGCCGAAAGAAATAGTCCTTGCTAATTCTCTCAATGATATAGTACTGAACTGTTTTATCACACCGATATCAATACATTTTCGAAGCAGGGATTAACTCACGTGACTAACCCACGGCAAAACGAGGATTAGTCCACTCACATCGATATTTAGTGAATTATTCACATTCAAAGATTTAATTCTATATAGGGGAAATCAGTAGAGGTGTAATGAATTAATCTGAAAATATAACAAAAAACTATATACAAAGTCTTTTGAGTACCTCCAAATAAGTAAACTGCCATGTCCGAGCTATTTTTGGATCCATAGTGGTTGTACACAGAACAGTGGTAGTAACCTTGCTCCTCTTGTTGGAAATTTGTTATGTTGAGGTTTGGAGAATCAATTGTTCCGCCCGAGTATTTTCCATTAAGTACGGAATTGATTGGTACATCATCTTTGTACCAATTAACTTTAACAACAGGAGGGTAACTGGAGGAAAAAATGCAAGACAGCGACACGCTTTCGCTAGCATTGACAGGGTAATTTCTCCTTCTCATGGAGAACACGGGTAAACCTGGGAGAAATATCTGAATCATTAGATTTTAGCAAAGATTTGCCTCTTCCAGTACCATTTTAAGAATGCTTTGCATTTTCTAATACTTTATTGAAATGCAGTGCGTCGAGATTATTTGCTCTCAAATTTTATCTTGTAAAAACTGCACAATTTTTATCAGATACATGTATTTATAATGGTTCAATGCATATTGAACATGAAACATAGCATACCTACACAGAAGACAAATTTGTATGTGCCTTGCTGTTAATACAAAGTTTACCGTTTCATGTAAAAGGAATTTAAAATAAAAACATACCTCGCTGCAGATCTAAAAAGATCATTGTTGCACTTTGGCCTATTCCTGCTGAGTTCTGGGCCAGACATCTGTAGTTTCCTATATCTTCAATCTGAACATTCTTCACGGTAAGAGACGGTGTTACAACAGTTCCCCCGCTATATTTAGTTGCATTACCTGTGTTGATAGTGCTTGTGACGCCATCTTTCTGGTAGTTCCATGTAACAGAAGACACAGTTGTCGTGCTTGTCACGTAACAATTGAGTATGGCGGACGATCCAACATTTACTGTAAGACTAGATCCTAACGTTACATTCGGTAAGCCTATAATTAAATTGATTTTTTCTGTAACTTTGGTACGTTTGGTATATATTTTGATAAAGGAAAGTACTTAGCATACAAGGGGTATTTTTATTCTTAGCCAAAAAAAAACGGGAAAGAGGATAATTATAAATTGAGGATATGAAATCTCGCAAGAAAAAATAGGTCTAATCAAAATGAATTAAGACTACAATGATTATTCTATAAACAGGATCAAATCAATTCGAGAGCATGGACAGAACACCATTTATAAAGGAGCCAGTAATTGATGACGTTTGAAAAAAGTATTGCCAAATATTGTTGTGAAAATCATTATAAATACACAATTTTTTTTGTCAAGCGTTACGAAATTAATAAAAGTATTATTTGCTGAATAAAAACAATAATAATAATAATAATAAAACAGGAAACAAAAACATTAAACATAATCATTTAAACAAAATTAAATAATCATAAACGGAATTCGAAGCTTAACAGATTCTTTAGAAAATATCGGACTAATTTAATTAACTTAGCTTACTTATTTCTTCTAAATGAAACACTCACCGTTGGCCATTCAAAAGGAAGGTTGAAATCAAACTTTTAAAAAATGTTTTTTCATCTTACATACCCGGGACATAGCAGGTAGGGTCTGTATTTCCGGCCAGACAGTGACACACATATTTCCCAAACTGATCTTCACATGTCCCTCCATTAAGACAAGGCTCACTTAAACAATCGTTTATGTCTGCAAGAAAAATGTCCTTAAAAGATATTTCAAAACATATTTACATGTCTTTCAGAATTCCACTTAATCTTAAAAACTATCCACTGCAGCCTGCGAAAATACAATTTAAATAATGTATTTTACAACATGGCTGCTTATGAAATCATCTTACAGCAAAGACAACTACTTTTGTTGTTACAAACCATCGGCACAGGTTCCATTGGACAATTTGCTCGTTAACAAAGGTAACAGATCAAACGTGGTCAGATAGGTATAATCGTTGTGCGTGGCCACCGATCTTAAAACAACTGAATTTATGCCAGTTCCTACCCCGACGCAAAATATCGTGACACCGCTTGCTTTAAGTTGGTTGGGCTCGTTGGAAACGGAACTTTGTCCATCGGTGATTAGAACAGCAATTTTTGCCGAATCATTTCTTGCTCCTCTGGAGGCCCTAAAGGAGTACATTCGGGCATAATCTAGGGCACTTCCGATGCTTGTTCCCCCGCTTTTGAATGGAATGGAAGCTATGGCAGATTGAATATCAGCTATTGTGTTATATTTGTTTAACGGAAATATCTCTCTAGAAGAGGACGCAAAGTTGACTACACTGAATTGATTTGCATTGCTTCCTACTTTGAAGTGACCGATGACAGAGCTGACAAATGATTTAATCCGTTCAAAATTGAGCGATCCAATGCTGCCAGATTCGTCTAGTAGAAAAACAATGTCTCCTTTCGACATGCACTCCCCTTATTTAAAGAAAAAAAAGGAAATTACTTCTGTATCATATATGTGTTTCATGGCAAAAGCAGTTTCTATGTGACTTTTTAATTGACAGCTTGTTCCAGTTTATTAAAATGGTTGTTCATCTACATCTCCACAAATCAAATTCATTTAAGCAATTAGTTAACATTTTTACATGCATTGTTTCTTACGACGGATGGAATGGCACGCGTCAGCGCATTATGAAAATTTGTCAGCACAGCTGTCTGTGTCATGGAACAAAAAGTATTACTTCGATGCCTTCATCTAAAATCTACCATAACATTTTTTTCTAGATCAATATAATCTTTACTTGTTTAAAAATTAAATTTAACAGCTGGTCAAGCTTCTAAGCAAACTGTATAGAAAGGACAGGATGCTAACTTTGTTTTCTTTCCCCTCAGCCGTGGGTGAAACTGTAGTGCAAGTATGGAAATAAAAAGAGAAAACGTCATATTACTTCTGTAATTCACTAGTTACAAAAGAGTAAAACAGAATAGGGAAACACCGAAAAAAAATTGCATAAATATATTCATACGCCATTTGATATTGGTAATTTCTCATCTGTGATGCTGTACATGTAGGCTGGATGATTATGTTTTTTAAGTAGTTTATGACTTGTTATAAAGAAAATAAATGTGCTAATTATTTTGTCAACAACGCTGTATATGTTAGAGTGGTTTATAGAAATTAAATGTTTCATTGCCTTATTTATTTCATGACTTAGAGACACCGCAGAGTCTGCCACATCTGTTTCATATTTGAATGTTTTCCTGACTACAGACGACAGAGGTCAACTAACAAATAAATTGTATGACAAACAAGATGGTTTCAGCTTTTCCATCGTCAACTTTTTTATATTTATGTAGTATTATTCCGCTTATTCCGCTTTCACCTGCATATGGTGTTTATGTCTCCCAACTTAATCGCTACTGATCAAGAGCATGTTCTGGGTATGATCAATTTTTAAACCGAGGCAGGCTACTCACACATAAATTGATGTTGCCGGGATTTCAACAACCTCGTTTAAAGTTAGCACTCCGTAAATTCTGTAGCCGTTACATGTATAATGACCTTGTTGGCAAATATATTATCACTGGGTCGTATTTTTGCTGACTTGTTTCATACCAACTGTTAGGCCATTTTTGTACTAAATTTGACTACAAAATATTCCGTCTACTTGATCAAAGCATAGGGCTCACGGCGGGTGTGACCTTTCAACAGGGGATGCTTACTCCTCCTAGGCATCTGATCCCACCTCTTGAATTTCCAGGTGTACGTGTTTATGCACTGTTCAAAAATTTGTATTGTTTGTAGTTTATATGAAATTGGTCACTGTGATTGTGTGTTGCTTTACGTCCCATTCGAGAATTTTTCACTCATATAGAGACGTCACCATATATCGGCGAAGGGCTTCAAATTTTGACCTTTACTCGGCCTCAGGGCGATTGAGCAGTGAGGGATCTTTATCGTGCCAACGCCTGCCGTTTTTAAGGTCTCGTCCGAATTTAAGGACCCGTAACTTTTTCTCCAAAGTGCCGAGCGAATGGCGAAGGAACAGTTGCTACCCATTTTTTATCGACTTAGGTCAGTCGCGGCAGCGATTCGAACTCACGACCTCCCGATCACGGAGCGAGTGCTCTACCGACTGAGCTACCGTTAACGGTAAGCTCTCTAAGAAGAAGGAAAGTTAAATTTTGTACATATATGTTATCTTTTTTAAGTTCTTTCAATTCTAGCTAGACTTTAATTTAGGTATGCGTGATTAAAGTTTAAAAAATAGCTAAAAGATGTTTGGCTCTCTCATACTTAAGGGGGGATTTTTGTCTGATTTCTGACTGCATGTAAATAAAATATTCGAAGTATATTTGCATATTTATATGACATATATTTAGATATAAGAAATTTATTAGATTATACTCTCCTTTCCTTCTTAAATTATAAGTGTTCAACTTTTAACAAAAATGTTAAGTTTGAAATCTAGCAGGGACTATATGTTTGATGGTGGAAATGTATTTAAAGTACACAGTTCTGCCTTTATTCTGTCTAATAGGTCCTCAGATACGTGACAGGTACGGTGGAATCATGAAAGCAAATTTTCGGATTTCCATACCCATCAAACTTTTGGCCTGTATAAATTCCGCCTTATAGGCGGGTAGACAATTTAGGCGTCATAAGAAAGAGAAAGCACAGGTGACAAAAGAAGACGTAGGAAGAAAGGTGAAAAAAATTACACTCAAAAAGCAAATTCTTTTGTGCATACTTCTTGGCGAGTTGACCCCTGCGCCGCAATAGCAATAGCAGCATTTTGAAAATTGTTTAAAGACGGATGACAAACGATTTATCATGCCAAATACATATCCTATATTTGAGCGTTTCTCTGTATTTTTATTAAAATGAAATCGAAAGAAATAATAGATATGGTTTAACTACTAGTACATTTTTACTCAAATGCAATAATTACATTCTGGTTGTGACTTGATTGAAAAAAAAACATTTATATCGTATAACCTGTGTTGCTTACGTCACAATTACTTACGTCAAAATGGTATCTATCGTATCTATCCGCTTGGAGTTAAATTTTAATTTTGTAGAATTTGAAGACTTTTTTGAAGGGAAATATAAAATTATAAGGAATGAGTTTAATGGTTACCAAAATTATACTTTTACATGTATAACCTGGTTGTAACAGTTTAAATTACCCCAATCTAGGTTACTAGTATACAGTATAACTTGGGTAGCTATAAAATTCATTCTCTAAACAGTCTACTTATGACGCAATTTCTTTTCTAATCAATTCACAATGAAAGTACAAATAAAATATTATGAACTTCCATTGAATTTTAAATTCTCAAAAACCAGTCGTAAACAATATTTCGTCAAAAAGAAAGAAAAATGATTAAATCTTACCTTTGATAAATGGTATAATTAGCCAGACAATTTGAAAAAGTACAAACAATTTCAACATATTGGATAGTTTCTGCAACTTTCTTACATCAGAGATCTCTGAAAGTTGGCATTGTGATCATATATTTACCGTGTAAATCATTTACGAAAATGGTTGAGTCATGTCCATTATATGAAGCATCTAAATAAGGACGTACTCATTGTGTATAAAAAGGGGTGTTTTCAATACAGAAATACATTATTTAGTTTCTACATTAAGATAAATATTTTCAAACTATTAGTAAAATTCAATTGGTTGGATAATTTCATGCTAAACAAAGCAGATGATGAGGTTCTAAGGGGCGTTTAAAAATCTTTTACATTTTAAAGCACATTTAACAAATTTCCTTGTTGTAATATTGACAATTGATACGCACAACATATTCTTGGAAAAAATGTTGTAGATTAATGCAGATAAAAAATGGTTTGACTTTTCAACACTGATAAAATATCATATTTTTTGTATTATTAATCTTTAAAGGCAATAAAATATTTTTTGTTTTATTTTATTTTTTATGAATTTAGTGCTGTACGATCAGAATTAAGTAAAAATATACAGATCAGTGATTATGATTTTGAAATATGTTTTTTTTAATGCAAATTTCAGGCTAAAATACAAGATAAATTTGATCTTGACTTTTTCTATATATATGTGCAGTTTTTTTTTTTTTTTCTTAAAAATATCTCTCACCACAAAAAGCCGTCCTTTATTAATTTTATTTCTTATAAATTTTGTGATTTTATTTATTCAAAATTGGAGTATTAATATTGAATGATGTACAAATTTGCATTGTTTGATTTAAGGTCGTCCGATCCTCAGGTTCATAAAATCATCAGTTAAGTAATTGAAAACGCCCACAAAAATATTTCTGAATCCACAGAAAAATGTATGTTTAGCCACAGTATTTCTTCAAAGTTAATAATTTTAGTTAATCATATTGTATAGGGAAAATTATCATATCTCCAATATATATTCAGGAAAAGCGAATAGAAACATCAGCTATGCATTTTCTAATTGAAAATTATATATTATGTTAAAAAATTGTAGGTATCCAGGCATTCAGAGAAATTGTATGCTTTTTATACTTCTTTGGTATTCTAGATAGCTTCTCTTTCCCTCAATTATTATATAATACATATTGTTAAAAGCTTGTGCTATCATTGCAAGGCATCACAGATCACTTCTTATTTCATATAATATCAATAAGCTTTGGTATCTAAGGCTAGATTCAAGAAAATACCATTCCTCTACAACTGTATTTATTTTCACTTTAGGGTACAAATTTCAACTTTTTACAAGACTCTTTCTAAGACTGAAGAACCTTGAATCATATTAAGATGCATGAAATGAAATTTGTTGCATGAAAAGTTTTCAATTTCAAGCTTCATTTTGAGACTTTTTAAATAAAATAATAATTTTAAGAGTTGCCCTTCCTAGCTGAGGATCGGATATCCTTAAATATGTTACAGAAACTAAACTTTAGTAGATAATTTTAATATTAAATGTTCTGACCACGCTTTTCTCAAATGCTGATAGGAGGATATTTTGCAAATATCAAAAGCAAACATTAAATAACACTCTCGTGCTTTTTGCATTCTTTTTCTTTAATAAGGACTTCACTAAATAAAAATATAGATGATAGTTTCCACAGAGGTATATAAGAATAAAAAAACAAGTCTTGGTTGTCTTATGAATGTATGTAGTACTTGAATAGACTGACTCTAAGTTTATAACTTCCTGTGAAGAAAATATTGATTATTTTTAGTTACAAAATACTTGAACAACAAATATTTATAACAGACTGCTGTAAATTTATGCATAACGTTTTTGGTTATTTTAGTGAACAAGCTAAATAAACTATTTTTTTTTTAAAAAAATCAAATATATGCAAATACAAGTATGTTGAAACCAACATACGTGTTTAAGCTTTTTTAAATGCCTTAACTTCCCAAAACAAATGTAAACTAATCAACATTTGCATGTGAAAAGGTGTCAAACTATTCTCTTCCTCAAACTCCTTTTAAGCAGTACA